TGCACCTGGGGGGCAGCAGACGAGGTCCCTGTCACCCACGTAGGAGACCCAGAAAGAGTTCCTGGGTCTTTGACCACTGCGGGCATTCGGGGAATGAACCAGCAGATGGGCGCTCTCTCCTGTGTGTGTGTGTGTGTGTGTTTATGTATGAATCTCTGCCTTTCAAGCAAATAAACAAATCTTTTAGGAAGGAAGGAGGGAGGGGAAGGGAAGGGGGAGGGGAGGGGGGAGGGAGGGAAGAGGAGGGGAGCCCTCCCACACACTGGAGTCACCTCCTGTGCTAGCAGAAAGCCTGCCCTAGAAAATAACAAGCCTGAAGCTTCGGGAGCTGTCTCCTGAACTGACCACTCAAATGCAGGAAACCCTGGCCCAAGCCTGGGCCTGTGATCCCGTGGGCAGTTCCCCTGCCCACTTTTACCCAACCCAGGACTCCCGGATCCACAGTTCACCAGAGGATGAAAGGGCAGACCCAGGCCCTCCATCGGCCAGCTATGCCACTTGTCTGTGGCTTTGCTAAGTCTGAGCCATATGTCCGAGTTCCTCTGGGGGAGGACAGAATGAGAGGAAGCTGACAGACGCTCCTGGCCCAGGGCTCAGCCCGGATGACATCACAGTAATGAGGAATTACAGCGGGACTGCCCGTGCCCTCTGCCAGAGCCCGCAATAACCCAGAAGGCTGAGGCTAGCACTTGTCTGGGGCAGGAGTGACGGCCTGGTCTTGCACAGACCGTCCGCTAGGTGGCACCCTGGGACAATATTCACAACTCTTCTGGTCCACGCACCAACTTGGCCAGGGTGGGAGAAGGTGGAGATGGGTGGGAGAGGCAGAAGGAGGGCTGGGAGGGCTGGGGAACTCGCCCAAGATCGTGCAGAGGTGACTGGGAGGTCATCAGCCAGTTCTGAGTTAAAGAAGGTTTGGTGCTCACTCCTCATGGCTTCCCTTAGCTCCCTTAGCCCAGATGTTCATAAAAAGGTGGCAGAGGAAGGCGGCCCAGTGACGAGGGTCAGGCCAGGTAGCAGCAAAGCCCATTAGGCACCTGCTATGGGGAGGGCCCTGCCAGTGGCCAAGGACCTTTGCATTGCTGAGCCTCAAAGGAGCATGAGCTGCCCCCATATTCCCAGAGGGGAGGGAGGCGGCAGGGTCACAATCTGCCTGACAGCCGTGGTGGAGGGGCCCTCGAGACTCACCCTGGGTGCTGCTGTAAAGAGAATCAGGGCCAGGAAATGCCTCTGACTTTACTCATTTGTATAAAAAGGAGAGGGGCCCACACTGTGGCGTAGCAGGTAAAGCCGCCGCCTGCAGTGCCAGCATCCCATGTGGGCGCCAGTTCGAGTCTCGGCTGCTCCACTTCTGATTCAGCTCTCTGCTATGGCCTGGGAAACCAGTAGAAGATGGCCCAAGTCCTTGGGCCCCTGCACCCACATGGGAGACCCGGAAGAAGCTCCTGGCTCCTGGCTTCAGATCAGTGCAGCTCCAGCTGTTGCGACCAACTGGGGAGTGAACCATTGGGTGGAAGACTCTCTCTCTCTCTCTCTCTCTCTTTCTGCCTCTCCTCTCTCTGTGTAACTCTTTCAAATAAATAAATAAACCTTGGGGCCAGCGCCATGGCTCACTTGGTTAATCCTCCGCCTGCAGCGCCGGCATCCCATATGGGTGCCAGGTTCTAGTCCCCGTTGCTCCTCTTCCAGTCCAGCTCTCTGCTGTGGCCCGGGAGAGCAGTGGAGGATGGCCCAGGTGCTTGGGCCCTTGCACCCGCATAGGAGACCAGGAGGAAGCGCCTGGCTCGGATTGGCATAGTTCCAGCCATAGTGGCCATTTGGGGGGCGAACCAACGGAAGGAAGACCTTTCTCTCTGTCTCTCTCTCTCACTAACTCTATCTGTCAAATTTAAAAAAATTTTTAAATAAATAAATCTTAAAAAAAGTAAAGATAAATTATTCTATCAGTGTTTACTCCTATTTGCACAGCTGAATTCCAAGATCTAAGACACTAAACACAGGGACTCCCAGTGGAGGGAGGACGGGCGGGTGGGATGGGTGGGAGAGGCTTCTGTGACCTTCTGCGTGTTGCCTGACCTTTGAGCCACACGACGCTTACCCAGTTTGCCCAGGGTCACACCATGTCCCCTGTGTGGGGTGCTGTTACCCAGCGAGGGGTGGTACCCAAGTTGACTGAACACAGTGGACAAACTCGGCACTGAATCACGGGGTAAGTCCCCTGCGGTTCTCTTCAGTCCTCTGAATCCACCACGCTGGTGACTCGGCGAGCCGCTAGCAAGGCTTCAACACCCCCAAAGTCCCAGCTGGCGAACATTTGGACAAAGAAGGGGTGAGCTTACAGCCCTGGGCAGTGCAGTGGCTAGCTACGATGCAACACGGTAATACACACCACTACCCAATGCTAACCAGCTGCGGAGGCTGCTTGCTGCTTCCCATGCATCCAGGTACGTGGTGCTCCCACTCTGAGAGGTGCAGGTGAGGCCCTGGGTGTGCAGGCAGAGGACGGACCGTATCCAAGGTCATTCGTTCACAGGACATGGCGCTGGGGATGGGAGCCCAGGCACTGGGCCTCGGGCAGCCCCGCCCCTACCCCTGCCGCACAGCAGAATCTACAGCGGGCTGCAGGCGGGTGAACAGCAGCTCTCCCGGCCCCCAGCCCTGTGCTCCCCTGCATTTGCTGTAAAGCTGCCCTCCGACTTCATCTCGAGCCCCAGGTTGCAGCCCCTTCTCAGCAGGGAGGAAACCATGGCTCAAGAAGCCAAGTGCACCATCCAAGGTCATGGGCCTGCCAAGGGCAGAGTGTGGCCTGAAGACAGGTGCCGGTCAGCCACGGGCACGGACACGGCCTTCCTCCCTGTCCTCGTGGCAGACATCTGAGTGGGCAGAGGCTCTGACCACCACCCCCAGGCCTCCCCTTCTGACTCAGAGCCCCCAGTTAGGAAAACAGCCCCCGCACCAGGGGCACAGAGCCAGGAGAGGGCTCCTTGGGGGACAGGCAAGATGGGAATCACTGTTTGGCCAGGTCCTAGGCCTGGGGTCGCCCTCCAGGGCAGTGGAAATGTGGTCCTAGGTCCAAGGCAGAGCTTGTGGAAGGAAGGGCCCCAGAGGCAGCTGGGCCCCAGAGGCTGGGCAGGACAGACACAAGTCAGAGCCCAGCAGCCCGCTCACCAGGTGCCCCAAGCAAGGAAGCAGAACCACCAGGAAGGGAGTGCTCCCCGCCTCGCCCTGCCCACGGGCCTGGCGGGTCCCAGCCTGTGGCCCCACAAACCCCACCTGATGCGGAGACACAGGCCCTGGGACTGGCCTGGGGAAGCAGACACTGCACTGAAAGCTACGCTCTTGGCAGGGGTGAGACGAGCATGGCAGCCCTGTCCAGGGGTCCTGTCACAGGTGAGTGGGGTGGGGACACGGACGGAAGAGCCACTCCTCGAGGGGGCGTCCAGATAGGACGCCACCGCGGCCGCTGTGGCACCGCCACTGCCCAGTGGGTGCAGGCCAGAGCTCCCGGGTAGGAGGCGCTCACAGCCACAGGGGCTGCCTCTGCCCATGGTCCCGCAGGTGCTGCACTGGAGAAGTGAGGCCAGCAGAGGTTAGCAAACCGCCCAGAGCCCGCCCTGGGCTCCCAGCCTGGCTCAACCAGAGCCATTCTACTGGGTCTGGAGCTCAGCCAACCAATGGAACAAGAAGTGTCACCTCCTCTTGTCTCTCTCCGCTGGATTCCAGCCCCCAGCCCCTCCCTGCTGGTGGGCTGAACCAGTCTCTGCAGACGCGGCCCCTACTGGGCACCCTGCTCTGCGGCTCAGCCTTGCCTTCAATACCCTCACGCTCTTCACCCCAGGGAAGACACAGCTGTGAGCCAGAATGTGTGGATTCAGATTTATAGCCCCGAACTCTCTCTCTACAGAAACTGATCCATCTCACAGTCCTGCAGCACCGAGGAGAAAAAAAGAGAAAACCCGGCCCGGACACATACGCCACAGGGAGAAGGGGGTTTGAGGGGGCTGGGCTGCAGGAGCCGGGGGAGGGGGGACACTGGGGAGTGGGCAAGCCGATGGGCCAGGGCAGGAGACAGCACGAGGGACAGCCAGGACGGAGGCCAGGGCTGGGCACCAGCCTCTTCTTGCCCAGACCTTCCGCCCCCTCAAGGGCCCAGCACCCTCTCTTCCATGCCCACCATAAAGGAAGCACGTGTCCCAGCTGCTGCCAGGAACTACACCCAGAAAACATTCTTGGAGAAGGACGCCCTGTTCCAGTGCCTCAAACCTCCCCCAGGAATGTCTGGGAGAAAGGCCACCACTCGCCGCCAGCAGCCATGGGCAAGGGGCCTGGGGGGAGAGGACCTGCTCAGCGGCGGTGCAGCAGGGCACGGGGTCAGTGTCCAGCTCCCTCTCCCGCCCTGCAACTGCAACACGTGCCTTCCTCCCCGAACGGCCAGCCTCCACGGGGCCTGGAAGTGGGTGAGGAACTTGGTGCCAGCTCAGGCCACGTCCTCAGGTTCCAGTCTCTGAACCTGTAACCCGCAGCCCAGAGCGAGCACCCGGGACCCAGGGCCCCCTCCCCGCCTACAGTGCCTCCATGCAGGCCCAGGAGCGGAACTCAAGGCGTCTTCTCACGAAAAGCAAGGTGGCTCACCCAAAGGCACTGCTTCTGTATGCTGCAGCCAGAGCCGGCGAGAGTCTCCGACCTGCACCCTGGCTCTCCCGACCTGAAGGCCTCCCCAGCACCCCGGCCAGCGGGCCCCTCTTCACCAAGCTCTCCTTTGAGTCCAGCACCTCAGGGTGAGCCTGGAAGTCACACAGTCATCAGGCACAACGTCCACGCCCAGACTCTCCCTGGACCTCCCCTCCCAGCTCCCACCCAGAAAATGTTAGAAGCCCTCTTCAAGGCCAGATGCCCACTGCTACCCTGTTCCCCAAACCCAGTCACCCCCAGACACCTTCAGCATGCCGTCCAGGTCCACGGGCAGCTGTACGGCGAGTGGCCAGTCTCGTCACATGGACTCATTTGTACTTCAATCTATTTATTGGAAATACCACAATAAATACAATGCCAGTCCCCCTTGTCAGAAATAAAAGGCAGCCAATAGAAATACGTCATTGAAACAAAGATGGCGCTACAAAAATCTGGAACCTTGTGCTCGGACCCCGCCCCACGTCCTGCCCCCTGGGAAGAGGGAGATCAGCGGGAGCTCCAGGGGCCTCAGAACATGATGGTACCTGCCGAGTCTCTCTTCTTACACAAAAGGATTACACAAGAACTAGAAAGAGAATTGCTTTCTTGCTCTGATTCTGTGCTCATAAGTAGGCCCTATGCTATCCAGAAATATCTCGAGTGGACCAGGGCACCCGCTCCACACTGTGGGAATGGGAAGGCTGGCCCAGACTCCCTCTGCCTCATGCTGAACCCAACAGGGAAACCCAACCCACAGTCCCTTCTCTGATCACTCAGTCAAGGCACCACAGATCCCCCACCACATGCCGGCTCCCACACCCAGGCCCTGCCCCATCAGCCCCGGAGGTCACCGCTGACTCAGGTGGGACACCAGGTAGACCAGGCCCACCAGCAGGAGGCCACGCACGCCGAGCATCATGAGCAGGAAGAGGAGCAGGATGGAGGTCACCGGCTCCACGGTGTGGTTGCCGAGGTGCCACTGTGGGAAGCCCATGTGCACCAGCTGCCGGTTGAGGTCATTGAACGGGGACTGGGCAGCTCCCAGCCTGGCACCTGCCTGCTGCTGCTGGCGGGGACCAGGACCCCCTGGGGGCGCACCGTGGCCCCTGTTGAGAAAGCTCTGAAAGGTGAAGACAGAGAGATGAATGCGTCCAGAGAAAGCTTCCAGAGACGAGGCAGGAGCCAAGCGGGAGCCCCCGTACAGCGTCCCCGCACCCCCCAGCCACACCCCTTTCCCATCAATCCCCAGGTGCTACTCATTGGAATCTCAACAACCGAGTCACACGTCCCCAGCGCACAGAAAATGCCAGCCCATGTTTCACACCACGCCCGGGGGCAGGTGGCCGGGACAGGCAGGGCACGGCGGTGGGCAGGTGTTCGTACTACTCATCCCCCCTTTAAAACAATGATTCTGTGGCCACGGGCTCATCTCCACTCACTCTTTCCCATCCCATAGTCTTAGAAAGATGCTGGGTTTGCTAACCAGGTTAAAGGAGAAGGGGTTCTTGGGTATGAAGTCTGGGGATGCTGCCTGGGGAGGCAGGAGGCTTGGCAGTAAGTGCACTGTGTTTTCCCCAAGATCTGACCCTCTGTACATCCCAGTTCAGCTCTCTGCAAAGCGGCACCAGGCTAGGGAAAGAGACTTCTGGGAGCTAGAAAGTAACAGGCGCGGAGGAGGCCAGCTGCTCCCCTGCCACGGAGGGCGGTGGTGTCTACCTGCCGGGGACTGCCACCTCTCACTGCTGCTGCCGCCGGAGCACTGGTCCTCACTCGGGGGTCATCGTCCTGCACAATTTCCCCATTGGCCAGGATCCGCACCATCCTTCCAGGAGCTGCTGGTCTCTGCTGGGCTGCACCTGCAAAGCACAGCCAGGGCTTGGGGAAGGCGGCCGGTAGAAGCCAAGTGGCCTGCAGGTCCCCTCCCTTCTAACCCGCCGGGACCAGGACCACAACCCGAGCCTCCTGTCCCGGAAAAGCCTGGAGGAAATAGCTCACCAGCAGCCGAGGTACACTGGCTCCCCGGGCCGAGCTCAGGCCGGTCGCCGCTCCCAGGGGCTCTGCCTGATCAGTACAAAGGGAGAAGCAGATGGGTGCTCCCTCACAGAGACAGCCAGGAAAACTGCCAGAGGGGTCCTTGGCCAGGGGGTTGATGAGCGAGGCCCAGCAGCAGCAGCACGGGCAGAAGAGGACCCCCCCCAGGGTTGGGGGGGACACACAGCTCAGCTGCCTGGGGCCTCACCAGCTCCTGATGGGGAAACAGAACTGAAGCCCAGAGCATGGGACCTCCCCCATGCTCTCAAAGAGTGCTCCCTGGGTGGACTCGCTAAGGGCTGGGCCTGCCCCTCCAGGCCACCGCCCTCCCCCCCAGATCCTGTCCCTTTGGGTGACTCTAGACCCACACAGTCCCTTGAGAAGGGCAGGCCTTGGCGCAGAGGGCACGCCCCTCACCTCTCAGGCAACACCTGTCCAACTCGCGGGGAACACCAGGGCAGATCCCCCAGCCTTCCCAAAATATGGGACCAGGAAGTCTCCCCGAACCCTAAGGGTGCCCAGGAGCTGGGGCCCCTTCCCCGCCACTCCCCGCGTTGCAGTAAAGGCCACCCCCGGTTTCTATTCTCAAAAGCACTCCTGACATCCAAGCCAAAAGGGGTGAAGAGCTCCAGTTCTTCCGCCTGCGGCCCTGAGTCCGGACCAGGCGGGTACCCCTTCGGGAGGCTGCTTGGCCCTGTAGCGGGCCGGGCAGCCAGTGGTCCTCGGCGGGTCTTTGTGCACAGTCATCCTCCCCCCAACGGTGGGCTCGGGCCTCGGTGCACCTGACACCACCGATGCCCCGCCCAGGCCGCCGGGCCCCAGTCCCCGCCACACGCAGCCGCCTCCGAGTCCCAGCCCAGGCCGGAGACCCGGACTCCTAACCCCTGCGGCTCATACGCGCGCGCGGACACCCACCTGCGGGCGCGGCTCCGGCCCCGCGGCGTCCACTGGTGGCGGCTGCGAGGCCGCTTCCTCCCACCTGACCTCACAGGAAGCGCGCGCCGGAGGGACGCGCCCGGGCGGCGGCGCCGTAGCCCCCTCTGTAGGTCGCCGTCAGAACTGCAGCCGCCGGGGCCGGGGGCCGGGGGCCGGGGGCCGGGGGCTGGGAGCTGGGAGCCGGGTCTAGGGCGAAGCGAGGCAGAGAGGGGCGGGAGGCGGGAGGGGAGGGAAGGAAGCAGTTGGGGGGAGAGGGGAGAGAAGGAGAGAGGAAGGCAAGTAGGGAGGCAGTAGGGCCCAAGGAGGAAAAGTCCCGAGAGGCTTGCCCCTGGCCTGGGAGGAGCGGCGGGCACAGCCCCGTTTTGTGGAGCCGGCTCAGTCCCAGGCGCAGCGCAGCGGGGCAGGTGCATCTGCCCGCCTGCCACAGGCTCCCTGGAGGACGTGCCTGTGAGCCAGGGCCGGCGGGAGGGTAGGCTAGTGGGAGAGGGCACGACGGGCAGAAGAACCATGTGGAAGAAGTGACGTCCACCTCTGCCTGCTTCCCGACGTTTTCAAAGCCACGCACGCCCCTCCGTGTGCCCTGTGGCCCCACGGTGCCGCCGGCGGCTCTGGTGTTGTCTGCCGCTGATGGAGGTGATCACAGCCTCACAGGGCTGCCGTGGACGAGAGTCCTGACGTCCCTGGCGCGGGACAGGTGGTAAACATTGGCTCCGGTTTCCGGAGTGGGCAGATAGTTAAGGAGCCTGTTAGAACCGCGTGCCAGCCAGGACCCGGAGGAAGGAACAAGACCCCACCTCAAGGACTCATAGTTTCATAGTTTGCCACCGTGCTTTGTTTGATGCTGAAACCTAAATAGTAAAAAAATGTTGTCGCAGCTCACTAGGCTAATCCTCCGCCTTGCTGCGCCGGCACACCAGGTTCTAGTCCCGGTTGGGGCGCCGGATTCTGTCCTGGTTGCCCCTCTTCCAGGCCAGCTCTCTGCTGTGGCCCGGGAAGGCAGTGGAGGATGGCCCAAGTGCTTGGGCCCTGCACCCCATGGGAGACCAGGAGAAGCACCTGGCTCCTGGCTTCAGATCAGCGTGGTGCGCCGGCCACAGCACGCCGGCCGCGGCGGCCACTGGAGGGTGAACCAACGGCAAAAGGAAGACCTTTCTCTCTGTCTCTCTCTCTCACTGTCCACTCTGCCTGTCAAAAAAAAAATTGTTGTCCAGGTGCTCCAAGAAGCTGAACCTCGTTTGTAAATTACACACTTGGCAGGTGCAAGGTGACTAGGGGGAGCAGTGCTTGCCGGTAATGACGTCTCTTGGTGAATGTCCCAGAAGTGATTGAAGAGAGTGGACATTCTGCTGCTTTGGGATGGGAGGTTCTGTAAATCTCAGTCGTACAGCGTGGGGTGATGGTGTCGTTGAGGTCTTCCATGTCTTTGATGATTTTCTCTGGTTGTTCTATCAATTGTAGAGGGCCAATACTGAAGCCTCTGCTTATAGATTTGTCTATTTCTCCTTTCAGTTCTACCAGTTTTGCTTTCCATATTTTGGAGCTTTGTTGCTTGATGCACACACATTTTGGGTTAATATGTCTTCCTGCAGGACTGTTGCATCATGTGTGTATCTCTCTGTTCTGGTTTTCTGTAATTGGTGTTGCATGACATATGTTTTCCATCTTTTTTTTAATATTTTATTTATTTATTTAGGAGGCAGAGTTATAGACAGAGAGAGAGAGGGACAGAGAGAAAGGTCTTCTACCTGCTGGTTCACTCCCCAAATGAACAAATGGCCAGAGCTGGGCAGATCCAAAGCCAGGAGTCAGGAGCTTCTTCTGGGTTTCCCACAAGGGTGCAAAGGCCCGAGCATTGGGCCATCTTCCACTGCTTTCCCAGGCCAAAGCAGAGAGCTGGAGCTGAAGTGATGCAGCCGGGACTCAAACCAGTGCCCATGTGGGATGCTGGCACTGCAGGCAGAGGCTTAGCCCACTATGCCACAGCACCAGCCCCTATCATTTGACTTCCAACTTGCCTAATTTGTTGTATGGGAACTGAATTTCTTATACACAGCATATAGTTGTATCATTTTTTCAGAAGTAAGTCCATAGGAATATATGCAGAACCATACAGCTTTACAGTTAAAAAAATTCATACACTTCATAATTACAACTTTAGGAACATGGTGATTCTTCCCACTGTGCCCACACTCCCACCCACACTCTCACCCTCTTCCTCTTCCTTCTCCTATTCTCATTCTTATTTTTTACTAAGATCTATTTTTTCAAAGATTCATTTATTTATTTGAAAGGCAGAGTTACAGAGAGGCAGAGAGAGAGAGAGAGAGAATCTTCCATCCACTGGTTCACTCCCCAGATGGCTGCAATGGCTGGAGTTGAGCCAATCCGAAACCAGGAGCTTCTTCCGGATCTCCCACATGGGTGGCCCATCCTCTACCGCTTTCCCAGGCAATAGCAGAGAGCTGGATGGGAAGTGGAGCAGCCTGGGCTCAAACCTGTGCCCATATGGGATGCTGGTGCTGCAGGCAGAGGCTTAGCCCAATATGCCACAGCGCCGGTCCCAAGGTCTATTTTCAGTTAACTTTATACACATATGATTAACTTTATGTTAAGTAAAGTGTTCAACAAGTAGTATATAAAAAAAAAACTGTTTCTCAACAGTCAAGAGGAGAGCTGTTCAAAGTCTTTGCTTCTTGAAGTGTCAATTTCACTTCTACAGATTGCCTTTTGGGTGCTCTATTAGTTATCACAGGTCAGGGAGAACATATGGTATTTTCCCCTTTGGGACTGGCTTATTTCACTAAGTATGAAGTTTTCCAAATGCATCAATTTTTGTTGCAAATGACTGGGTTTCTTTTTTTAATGCTGTATAGTATTCCATGGTGTGCCTACCCCATAATTTCTTTATCCAGTCTTCAGTTGATGGGCATTTGGGCTGATTCCATGTCTTAGCTATTGTGAATGGAGCTGCAATAAACATGGGGGTCAGATAGCTCTTTCATATGCTGATTTCATTTCCCTTGGGTGAATTCCCAGGAGTGGGATGGCTGGGTCCTATGGCAGGTCTATATTCAGATTTCTGAGCTATCTCCATACTGTCTTTCACAGTGGCTTTACCAGTTTACATTCCCATCAACAGCTTTTGTTGCTTGTTGATTTCTATATGTGAGCCATTCTAACCGGGTGAGGTGAAACTCACTGTGGTTTTGATTTGCATTTCCCTTGGCAGCTAGTGATCCTGAGCATTTTTTCATGTGTCTGCTGGCCATTTGGATTTCCTCTTTTGAAAAATGTCTGCTTATGTCCTTTGCCCATTTCTTAACTGGGTTGTTTTGTTGTTGTTGATGGATCATGTTTTTTAATCCACTCTGGCAATTTTGTCTTTTTTAGACCGTTACATTGGACATAAGTATTGATATGTTTGGACTTAAGTCTGCCAACTTACTTTTTGTTTCTGCTTCTTTCCTGTTTCTCATTTCTGTGTAATTTTCCTTGTCCTCTTGTGGGTACTTGAACATTCTCTAGAATTTCATTTTGATTTACCTGTAGCATTTTAAAGTGTATCTCTCTGTATAGCTGACTTAGCCATCACTCCGAGCATTACATTGTATGTGCATAACTTATCACAGAGTCACCATTTTACTGCTTTGAGTAAAGAACCTAATTCCCTTTGCATCCCTTCACTCTCTCCATTAATTGTCTTAAATATTTCCTCTACATGCATTTAGAACCACATTAGACAGTGTTATAACTTTTGCTTTAACTGTCAAATATAATTTATGAAACTCAAAGGGAAAAGGAAAACCTGTTGTAGTTACCTGTATTTATGTTTACCAATTTATTTTTCCTTCTAATGTTCCAAGATTCTTTTGTTTTATTGTTTCCTTTCTGCTTGGAAAACTTCCTCTAACCACTCTTCCTTCCTTCCTTCCTTCCTTCCTTCCTTCCTTCCTTCCTCCCTCCCTCCCTCTCTTTTTTTCTTTCTTTCTTTCTCTCTCTCTCTCTCTCTCTCTCTCTCTCTCTCTTTCTTTCTTTCTATAGATTTGTTTATTTATTTGAAAGGCAGAGTTACAGAGAGGCAGAGCGAGAGTGAGGTCTTCCATCTGCTGGTTCATTCCCCAGATGGCCATAAAGACCAGAGCTGCGCCATTCCGAAACCAGGAGCCAGGAGCTTCTTCCAGGTCTCCCATGCAGGTGCAGGGGATCTTGTATTGCTTTTCTAGACCATAGCAGAGAGCTGGATCACAACTGGAGCAGCCAGGACTCAAACCGCGCCCCTGTGGGATGCCAGCACTACAGGTGGTGGCTTTACCCATTATGCCACAGTGTCAGCCCCTCCAGTCTTTCATAGGAAGTTTCTTGGTTACAAAAATTTTTGTAAGTTCACTTATCTTTTAAATTGATTGATTGATTGATGAAAGGCAAAGATATGGGGGGGGGGGGTGTGCAAGAGACAGAGAGAATCTTCTGTCAGCTGGTTCACTCCCCAAATGCCTGCAACAGCCAGGGCCAAGCCAGGCTGGAGCTGGGAGCCCAGAACTAAATCCGGGTCTCCCATGTGGGTGACAGGAACCCAAGTACCTGAGCCATCACCTGCTGCCTGGCTCTTACTTAAGGCTTCTGGTTCATCTGATTTTTTTTCCTGTCACCGCTCCATCCGGGGAAGGAGAGGTGCAACACCATTGGTGACAGGTGGGGATGGAAGTCTAGGCTCCCCCCAGCCTCCAGTGGCACTCAGGCTGGGGGACAAGGTGCTCCTCACTGGTGCTCGGAGGTGGGGACGAAGGTCCTAGCTCCCTACTTGGACACCTGCTTCACACCGCTCTGCAGGGGCTGCTGCCGCCTCTTTCAGCCCACAAAGGAGGGCTCTAGGCTTAGCCTTGGCAGGTGTGGGTTTTTCTGTGGCGTTTGGCCAGAGTGTAGCAGGAATTTTCCACAAGTTGTCCATTTTGCG